CGTCGCTCAACCCTGGCCAAGGACGCCCGTCTAGCTGGCCACCACGATTACCAGCGACTCCGACGGGAAGTAACCCGCTCCGCAAAAGTAAATCGGCGCAACTACTGGATCGAAATAATGATCAAGATGGAAACCGCAGCCAGTGCGTGTCGTTTCGGAGATCTCTTTCGCCTCATAAGATCAGCGTCCGGTAGAAGGCAATCTTTGCAACCCGTTCTGCATGACTCCCCTGGGGGACTGATCTCTAGTATCGACGGTAGAATGACCATATGGTTAACACATTTTAGTTGACTTCTCAGTCGTCCGTTGGGCAGTTCGGCGGATATTCATCCTTATTTTGCGTCTCCATACGAGGTCGACTGTGATCCCCCAACGATAGAAGAAATAACCGCAGTGATCGGTCGCTTGAAGTCTGGCAAGGCCCCTAGTGAAGACAGAATCCCGGTAGAAATATATGAGAAATGCCTTCCAGTGGTTATCAAACCGCTTCACTCTCTTTCGCTGTATTTGGGAGACCGAAACATGTCCAACTGATTGGAACACCTCGGGTTTGCTTCCATTCCTCAAGAAGGGCGACAAGACACTACACGTGAATTATCGGGGCATCAGTCTGCTAGACAAGGCTGCAAAAGCGTTTGCCCAGCTTGTGCTTAATCCATTTGCTACACTGAGGCATGCACGTACTCGACCAAACCAAGGAGGCTTCCAACCCGGCAAAGGATGTATCGATCAGATTTCCATCCTAAGGCGAATTCTGGAACATTAATACAAGTTTCAGCATCCCACCGCGCCGCATTCGATTCAGTGGACTGCGAGTCACTGTGGAAGATAATGCTTGCAGATGGCGTCCCTGCAAAGTCGGTCAACATAGTGAGGTCGTATTACACCCAAACCAAAGCCCGTATCCGTGCCTACGGCGAAGAGTCTTATCCCTTCGATCTGAGGTCAGGATTAAGACAAGGATGCCCGCTATCTCCAGTGTTGTTCAACTTCGCCGTTGATTGGATTCTGCGTCGGGCAATGGAAGGTTACCAAGGTGTCCAAGTTTCCGTGGATTGCTGGATTACCGACCTCGAATTCGCCGATGATGTGATAGTGCTTGGAGAGGACCTGACCGCCTTGCAAACAGCTCTCAACCGTACCAAAAGATTTTCCTCTGAGATCGGCCTTGAAATTAATCCTAACAAAACCAAGATGTTCGCTACTCCGTCTGATCAAGCGGAACATCCTCTGCAACTGGATGGTCAGACAAAAGAAATCGTATNTCACCGATGACATGATAGTGCTTGGAGAGGACCTGACCGCCTTGCAAACAGCTCTCAACCGTATCAAAAGATTTGCCTCTGACATCGGCCTTGAGATTAATCCCAACAAAACCAAGATGTTCGCTACTCCATCTGATCAAGTGGAACAGCCTCTGCAACTGGATGGTCAGACAATAGAAATCGTATCGGACTTCAAGTTCCTTGGGTACCCAATGGACAAGCCAAAAATGATGTAAAGCGGCGCATCGACAGGGCCCGAACGGCGTTTCTGCAGCTCCGAACCACCCTATGGCGCTGGAACGAGATCAGCCTCAAAACCAAGCTCAGGGTGTTTGCCACAGCGGTTCGACCAGTCCTACTGTACGGCTGCAAAACCTGGTCACTGAGAGCTGAGAACATCAGACGATTGGAGGTCTTCGATCACTGGTGTCTTCTGTTCATCCTGAAAGTTAACTGACGGGACAGGGTCTCAAACGCGGACCTCAGAAATCAATGCCACGTTGCCCGTCTCTCAGCGCACATACAACGTCGCCGACTGCAATGGCTGGGTCATGTTCTCCGCAGACCCGATGACACTTTCACGAGTATTTTCCTGGCTCCGACACCATGTCCTGGTTGGCGCCGCCCAAAAGGGGGGCTAGTAAAAATCTGGCTGGATACTGTATTCGAAGACGTCGACCAACTTGGCCTTCGGATGGTGTACGGCACTCGCCGGTGGAAAACAAACTGCATTAACATTTACAAGGATCTTGCAGCCAACCGCCAAGCATGAATAGCGGCCATCAGAGACATTCATGGAGCCGGCTTATCCTTTCCAAGGAGCCAGCCGTAATAAAGTAAAAGTAAAGTAAGCCAAAAGACAACAACCAAAACCGGCGCACGAAAGTGCATGGTTAATGGTTGTACAAACTGAAACTGATTCGTGTAGAGCAATAAAATAGATGGATTCCGTTTGGCTATTGTTACCTTCGTGGTATCGTCAGAATACAATGGCAATAGCGAGTCATCACCAACGGGATTCATTGAGTGATGTTCACCTCAAACAGTCTCATCTGACATCCGTACCACCACTTCGCTCCAAGGGCTTCGATGGATTAGAAGTACCCTGCCCACGTTGGTCCAGTGACTCCTCTGTCGGGCCGTTTGAAACAGCTGACACAGGCTGGAAGTAGCAACAATTTGTACGATAAATGATCTGGGTTCGGAGGATGAAAACACCAAAATGAAACTGACAATTGTAAAAAACACTCGGCTACCAGGGTGGCGGGCACCTGCGGCTTGAGACAGTAGCAAA